GGTTTTAAAACCCTTTAAAAAGAGCTATTACTGTTGGCTGCTTAAGTATGTCACTTCCTTGATCATTCATAACAAACACAGTGAAATTACTTTTTTGTTGGGAATATCTTAGAGTAGTATTTAAATAGTTTGTAATAATTATTGTCACCCAATCTGACAGTGATGAACATTTATCAGTGTAGAATTCTCTGCATCAAAACATTAGCAGTTGACTTTCCTGCAGTCCTATTTTTCAATCTCGATTTTTGGTATGAGATGCTGGATGTTCTTCACATTGGCAGTAGATGGCACTTAGCCAAAGCACCTAAAAATACATTTGAGAACTCGACAGTAATGCTGCTTTCCAGATATCACGACTCAGTTACTCAACAAATCCACATAACTTGTTGAAAGCAGTTCCATGTAGGAAATATATTCCTTCTTTCAAACAACAACCACTAACCATATCCCCGTTCAGAAGGAAGCAAGCTCCTATAGGTTGTGTCTAAATGGTAACCCTCAATTTGTGAAAGCTCTCACAAGACACAGTGTCTGACGACCTATGCTAACGTTAACCATTTAAGGTCAATGCCTTCCTTAACTTTCTTGCAAGGGTTTGTAAATTGCTGGCAACCATCAACACACAATCCATCCACTAATGGACGAGAGGCCCGTGCTGACGACAGCATCATGAAATCATATCATCGATGATTGTCCAACCATTTCCCTTCTCCCCCCAGAAAAAAAGTCAGATGATCGCCAAAATAAGAAGGGTTCATCCTCTGAGAACCATGAATGTCTGTTCTACATTTTGTGGCTGATATTTGTTAAGATAATGTTGTCAAAGGGAAAGAGATGCATAGATCCTGTTGAAGTGCTTTGTTGTAATAAAGAACATAAAACACAATTGTACTTACAAACTAAACCTGACTGTATTCAGAATATAAAAGAACTAAGGTCAAATATGTTTCACCTAGATTTGCAGAAAGCATTCATAATGTCTGACAGTAGCACATTCCCCCACGCCAATGTTAACATTTTGACAGCAGAAGGTATTTTTCTCTGTGCTCAGCTAATTTCGCATTAGGTAAATACAGTTCAGGATCAGCAGCAGCAGGCAGAGGCAGATCCAGATGCAGTAAGTGGGTCAGGGATTATTCCGCTGGGTCACATAAACACTGAGGCTGTGAGTCAGCTTGGCAGCGTGATCACGCTGTCCGCCAGCAGAGGCAATAATGAGATAAACTGACCTGTGGCGATGCTCCTCTGTTACTGTTTGTAGCTTTTATTACATGTTACTGAATGCCAGACTAATTTACAGAGATTTAAGAGAACTGAGGCTGAACAAAAATGAGTGTGAATTAATGCTCCGGAGGATTGTTGTTGATTTTCTACTTGGAAAAGTTAAACAAATATTAGATTTCTTGTTAAAATATGACACAGCTTCACACCAAAGAATACTTATCTCACTTAGACAGGGACTTATTCTACTTTATCCAGCTGACACAGTTAGTGTCAACACAATGAATTATTCATATCAGTTTCTATTAGTCCTTTAGTGAAAATTACTTTTATCTGTCCAAACTGTGAAGCTAACGTAATAAACTGACGTACATTTTGAAAGTGGTGAAATGTAACAAAGTAAATCTATTAAAATAATGTACTCGAGAGTCAAAGGGGTCAGGAAATGTAAATACCCATGTAAATGCGCTCATGAACTGTGTTGTAGTAGCTTTATAATACACATTAAGCTAAATTGAAATGTGTTGGCTCATATTCCACTCGTTATTACTGTGCCACATCCTCACTCTTCATCACGACCCTGGCTAGGTGACGTTGATGTGCTCATTATTGGCTCTTTAATGAAAACCACTTATCATCACAGAGTGGAAATATCACTATAATATTTCTATGAAGGCTCTCTGTTTGTCTTCATCTGGTGGCGTCGTTATTCTTACTTTCTCTTTATTTCAGCAGCAGCCTTTCCAGATAATGACTTGTTCATCATGATGTCAGTTTTATTGAAATGAGACGACCATGATGAGCTTACTTCAACTGGAGGAAATATTTTAAAGTTATAATAATTATTCAATAACATGGGCTGAATAATTCTAAACATGCCTTTCTCACAAACCAAAACAATTATGTGATTTTTATTAAAAATCCAAACCAGTACAGAGCACCAGACAGCCGGGTGTTTGGTGTTGAAATACACTGTTCTGTGATGTAATGTGCTGCTAGAAGCTCTTATGGTTATCTGTTATGTGTTTTTCATCAGCAGTAAGGCTGTGCTTGTCCCCGCAGAGGACACAGCTTGGTTTTAAATAAATGAAAAAATAAAAATCTGCCAAACCACTGGATTTTAAATGTAATCCCTGTGCAAAAATAACTCTTATTTAACTGCATTATTAGAGCTTGTCTCCATTACTAAAATTAGTTGTTGGGATGTTATAAGTGAAGTCTTTTTTTTGCCTGTGTATTTGAAATACAATTAAACATCCCTATCACTAGGGCGGCATCTCTGGTGTTGTTTTAGATTAATATGTGACGTGTACTGTCCTCAAAGGTCCCCTCATATTTCTTTTTTTTTGTACAATAATCTCAGTTTAGATCATGAAAGTAAAACAGAAGTCCAGTCCACCCAGTTTACTAACACATTTAAGATACTATCTCTTTTATCTGCAGACTCATTCATGTTTTTATTATATCTGGACTTGGAGTATTGCAATGTTCAGTATCTGTGTTTACTCAAAGTTCTTTCAAATGACTTCATTGTGTGTGTGGCCCAGTTTCAGCAAGCACTCATTTAAAAGTGTGTTATTGGTTAATCAGTAACATTAGGAGAGTGTGTGAGAGAATCTGCAGAGGACAGGTGTCTCTGGTGTTTGTCAGGCTGAGCGCACACTGAGGAACAAACTGTGACTAAGATGAAACAGAAATAGCCTACTCAAATTTCAAAAGTGTTTCCAGGATAAATGAGAAAATGCACAATAATCAGAAACTGCAGAGGCAGAGAGCTTTGTATCTGTCCCAAAGTCCATTACTCTGGGTCTAACTCAGACACTCAAGTCTCAATGCATCCCATGATGCATTGAGACTTGAGTGTCTGAGTTAGATTTTGTTTATCAAAAACATCCTAATGCATTGATGTTGACCTCTAGATAGATAGATAGATAGATATATAGATACACAGATGGCATCTGAATTAAACAATCCAATCTTGGTGTGTCTTAACATGATTTTTTAACTAATTACATCCCAGTAAATAGAATATAGCTTTGGTTTTAATACTATTTTTTGGTCTGTTTTGGATACTTGAGGTTTGTGTCTGATTTACTTATCCAGTATTTGCAAATGCTATATTATAATTTCAACCATAGGTATTCAGATAGAGGGTTTTCAAACATTGCAATGCTGTAATTTCAGTAGCTATACCCTTTTAATCACGTTTTTAGTAGCGGTTCTAAATAATATGACTATTACTGGCCTCTATATACATTACATGTTACTTGTTAGACGCTTTTTATCCAAAGCGATTTACTGTGGGCAATCCCCACAGGAGCAATTTGAGGTGAAGTGTCTTGCCCAGGGACACAACGACATGCTGACTGCAGTGGGGTTTGAACCTGTGACCCCCTGATCCGAACACCAAGGTTGCTTTCGGATAGTTTAAAAATCAGCTCCTAAATTCTAACCCTATCTCCTATTCCTTGACCTCTGAGTGAAACGTCACGGGGTTAAGGGATAGTGGATAGGAGAATTCAAAAGGATTTAGGAGAAGAGACCGCGGTACTTTAGATAATCCGAATGCACTTTCACTATCCGACGTGTTTATGATGCGCCAGCGGACGTCATGAATGTGCGTCTGCTGCTGTGGGGAAACTATGGAAACTACAGTTTTCTATACAGCGGACTACAAACATGGATGTATAATAAGAACGAGGGACTCATCTAGAGACTCTGCACCGTGCTCTGATGCTGTTGCAAATGCTTTATGAACAACAGAGAAACATATTCTTCATGACCAAAGTTGGAATTGAAATAAAAAAGTGAAACTTAGCTCATCACCCTCTCCCTCCGGTCCACATTAATACAAATGATCCCAATACGTATGATTGTATGAACTATGAAAATATCTTAAAATCAATACAAATGTATTTATTATAAACGTTAGTCTTTAACATCTATCACTGTGTATATCACCATTCAAACGTATTTTAAAAGTTGAACAAACCCCACACAGCTCAGTGAAATGTTGACTTTATTTGATCATTTCAGTAAAAACTAACGTTCATATTTCTCTTTTTGATTATAATACGGATGAACGTTCAAAACAAAGCACTTTGTCAACTTACCACATACGTTTTAAAAAGCTTAATAAGCACCGTAACTTTCATGATATAATTTCTCCGTCATAATCGGTTGTTTCCGTGAACGGCCGACTGTTGTGTGACGCAAATGCTGCGGCTGCAAGGCATTGTGGGGCAGCATTTTCTCCTCTCCTTTTGGTGAGGGAGGTCCAGTGGTTCCTAAGAGGTTATAAAGGAAGTTTGAAACCTCCTTTCCTTTCATTCTAGAGAATTCGAACGGCTCTTATCATGGCTGCCACTGAGGGACTTCCGGGTCATTTCACTCAGTTAGGAAGGTTCCTAAACTAAATGGACTATTCGACTGCAGCCCAAGGCTCTATCCACTGCGCCCCACACGCCTCCTATATATAGTTTTATATATTTCTTCTGACTAATCATAAGAAGTCATAGTATCATACATGTTGTGTTTCTTTGCACAAGAGTGTTAAAGCAACACTGAGGCTTTTGTTAATTGCTTTTAAACTGTGATGGGCCTCTGATCTGATAACTTATTCTCACATAACTTGATGTTATTGAAGAGGCTGTAACAGCAGATCCTGAAGGCTAGATGGCAGTATCGGCTTTACTGAATCTCCACTGAGCTGCACGTAAACATTAGAGATTCAAAGAGGCCACTTTGGAACAAATATAATAGAAATTCAGGAATGCACATAAAGTCAATATGAACATTTTTATGAAAAAAAGAAGAAACAATCATGCGCACTTCAAGTTCCAAAAGACAAACATCCAAAGCAAGTGAATCACAGTTTATATTTACATATGAACACCACTGGTAATATCAGCATGCCTCTGTAACCACATGAGACCCAGATAAAGTCCTGCTCTCTAGTAAAGCAGCAGTCATGGAGAGATATCATCAGACGACACTGTGCTCTAAACACCATTCATATTTGTAATTTAGATATCAAACAGAAGCTGACATTTGTATCGACGGTGTGTCAGAGTATGACCATGCACAGCTCTCCATAAAACCAATCAGCTCTGCAATGTTCCTGTTAATTACAACACTCTTCTCCTCAAATTACAGACTGTGAAGCAAATCTAGGTCAACATCAACGTGTCACCAACAAGAAACTCTGATATTAGAGCTGACACATTAAACAACTGAACAGCATAGAACACAATCGGTTACCCTTGAATTTAATGAAAAACAACTCTTTAGTTAATCAGAGCAACACACCTCAGGAGAATTGGGAGCAACACAATGATGAACGTCCTGCAGCAGAGCCTGGCACATATTTGACTTTTAGTTTGCTCCATCAACACCAAACATGCAAATCACTGACACAAAACCATCAAACATGGAAGAAACCAACAGCCTCTCGTGTTTTCTGCAGGCAATCCAATGGCAATCATAATCGATTGATACAAAGTGTCAGACAGTATTAAGACCACCTTGGAGGTCTTTCGGAAGCATTTGGCAAACCATTATTGCGAGGGAGAGGTATGTGCGCTGTGAGTGAATGAAAATAACAAGCCGAATGTAATAAGAGCAAGAATAATGCAGAATAATTCAGCCTTCTCCTTCATTATATTTTCTTGCACGATTTCAATTTTTCTAGTTAATTGAAGCATTACGATTGACATTAAATCCACAAAAGGGACACGGAGCTCTATGAATATGATTAGGGAAATGCTCATGATGTTAGCTTTGCAGTGGCTTCTCAGATTTGCATTGGGTCTATTTAGGTCTTCCATTACAGTATTGATCTCTGAGTGTGACCTCCCTTGGGTATGTTGTCATGAATGATGATCTCATGTTTCGTTTGACACACAGTAAGCAGGACGTGAATCCTTCATAGGCATGCAGAACATCCTCAGAGCATGCGGTGAAACGTCTCTCTTTAGGCAGTCTCTCCGGTGTCAGTGAAAGAGGATCAGTTCATTCCTGCAGCGTGGATCCAGGCAGCTCGTTGGTCAGCGTGTGCCAGCGCTCCACTTTCGTGCCCTTGTTCTTCAGACAGTCTATCCAGTGCTGCAGAGGATCGCCCTGCGAGTGACACCCTAAAGACACGCCGCCTAACCAGAGCAGAGACAAAAACAAGTGAGAGGGGCTCAAAAGAAAGTTCATGTTTGGGGATTTAAGTTCAAGAGCTGAATGTATGTTTTGATAACAAGGGTTTTTAAAATGAACCAATACTAATGAATTATCAGAATGCAATTTTGTAATATCTTTCCTTATATTGGTATTGTAGGAAGAGTAGGTGTAATTAGCTTTAGCTTTAACCTACCCTTTTTGATCTATAAAAATCGTCATTGTGTTATAGGGTTGACTTGTTTTCTACTGTACTGCTAAATAGCACTAATTGCATATGTTGTTGTCTGTTTTAGCCTCATTGCTTTTGCAGTAACTGCGTTTTAATATTTAAAAAATTGAGACCCAAGAAGCTGGAAAGGTTTTTTTTCCCCTATGCCAAAAGCAAAAATATACTTATTTACCAATAGGCTTACATTTTCAGTATTCAAACGTATAACATCTTCATGATAGGTGCAGCAATTCTGTATTAATACTTGATTGCAATTCCAAATGTGCATCACATGTAATATGTTTTCACTTGTTTTCCTTTTCGCTGAACAGTGTGGAAAATGTGACATGATTGATGGATAAAAAGCTCTGTAACTTCTTTAGGACAAATAGAGATACATATAATGTAATTTCTCCCATTTATAGATGATAGTTTAATGCTAATTTGCAGCCAAATGTCACTGACACCCTTTTGACACCCTAACCCTGCAAATTACACACAGTGCTGCACTCAGTGGAAGATAATAGCGCAGCTTAAAATATCTTTGGTAACATCTGCCATGGATACAACATTAGTGGACCGATAATCATAAGCCATGCAGCTAATGATTATCCAAAAATAATTCTGTTTAGTATGCCTTAATCACATTTTTTTGTTATTGTCTTTTTCCCCTTATTGTTTGTGCAGTTATTTAAAAAATGTAAAACCTATAGAGGTGGAAACGTCCTTTTCGTTCTATGGCAAAAGCAAAAGTCTACTAAAAATATGATTAAATATGCAACATTCATACATTTAAATTGGTAATACATGTGAATTGTTGGCTGTATGTGCAGTTACCTATGAAATCGTTGGACTTCCCTAGGTCGTAGTCCCACACTGTGACCTCCAGCGTCTTAGTGGCTAACTCTGAGAAGGTGATTTCATAGAAGAACTCCTGGGTGAAAACAAAGAAGAAAAGGGGTCAGTGGACATGAGCAAAGGTCAAAAGGTTACACCTGATGAGCATGCAAATCTCTAAAATACTCCCTAATGAGGCAACAGCTATTAATGTAAAACCTGTAATTGGCTGCAGACACTTTGCATGCAGTGAAGCGTCTCCGAGGAGTATTTAGATTTAATTAAGCTGTTTTATTTACATCAACCATTGAAAATGTGCTTCACACTCCCACAGCGATTTACATTCACAAAGTGAGGTTTACCTCATTAAACTCCGGGTTGAGAGTCTTCTTTATGACCGCTGTTTTGTGCTTGGATTTCTTCTGAACGTCTGGCTTGAGGTACCTGAGGCAGAGACATGAGACACCATCATATAAGAGTCTGGACATTATAATTTGCAGGTAGGTCATTGTAATGCTGGAGGGAATAATACAGCACTAATGGGGACTGCAAATACCACTGATAACTATGTAAAGGTCAGAGGCAGAGCAGGTTCATACAGAAAACCATTATGTTCACTGAGGAATATTTGTCAATGATGGATAGATTATGTTTTTTCCCCCTGACATGTCACTCTTACTATATTCTTAGTGACTTCTTCATTAATGGATGATTCAGAAAGAAGCATTATCTTGAAGGCAACATTGAAAGTATTCATAGGCCCTTTTTATAATAATACAATTGCTTATTAAGTAGGCCTACCTTTCTAAATTCAAGGCAAAGTAAAGGCAACACACCCGGGAAGCAAATACAACAGAGAATCAAACAGTAAGACAAGAGGGCAAATAATAACTTTAACAGTCTTTTTTGTGAAGGCCTATGTGTCATTTTTTGTCATTTTAATGTTAAAAACGAAGAAGACGGTATATTTAACCGTAGGGATAAACAGTTTATACCACCCGGTGGGCACGTGAGTGGCGCAAATCAAGCACACCTCAACAGGTGCATGCTAGGTCTGACCGGCTAACATGCTAAATGCTAACATGTCTCATGGTGGATGGATTCGGCCTTCTCTGAATAACTTTTACCTTCAGTGAGGTGTGTGAGGGCTTTCTTCTGTTTGTGACAATGCCGCTACTGGGAGTGGACAGCATAAATAATGCTTTGAAAATGAACGACAACAGAAGATAAACCTGGAGCAGATGCTGCAGGACAACGTGAGGCTCAAAACTCCCTGAATGACTTTCAGACAGGTGTGAACAACAACACACTCTTCCTGCAGGGAAACAGACTTTGTTGAGGTGTGTGAATGACACATTTGCTTAACATTAATCGATATGCTAATCAATACATTGGAGATTATCTTCTGTTGGCTGTTTTAGGGTTGCAGCTTTAAAAAGTGACTGTACTTTAACTAGAGTGAAGTGTCTTTAATGAAACAGTAGGCCTGCTTGTAATTGGGTGACATATTCAAGTACTCTGGATAAAAGTACAGTTTGACATTTAAGGAAATATTCGTATTGACTTTTCTTGTACTGATTGTACTTTTGTACAGAGCCAGGCTGGCTGTGTCCTCTGTTTCAGTGCTTTTGGCAAAGTTAACCAGCTGCTGGCTGTATCCATCTGGTTCTCAGCAGGAAAGTGAATTCAGTTTATTTCGCACAATGTCATGCTATTCCCTCTAAGGTTTAATACATTATTTGTGAAACTAACCATATGTGAGAAATGATAACCAACACAGCACTGAGTGAAAAAGCTCATCATCCCTTCAAGAGGTGTCACTAAAATTCTCAGGATATTTTTAAGCCAGCTGGAAGGAGCATGGCAACATCTCTATTCACATTTGCTTTCCACCCACCACCCACAGCTCTGAGAGCGTATGTTCCCACACGCTCTCAGACACAACAAAGCATCTGGGGAAAATGTCCTGCCAAAGGGCAAAGATGCGATCACGCATCCAAAATGAAACAAGCTGCATGGTGGATGCGTGAGGGCTGTGTGCGTAGGTTCGGTGGATGTAAAGAAGGAGGGAGAGTTTAATTCGTGACGGGAAAGGAGATTGTTGTTTACTGAAGAGTGGTGGCATGCTGAGCTTCATGTGTGTGTGATGGGAGGTTGTTATGGGTTTTACTCCTCCAAGAATGAACTTTAAAACCAGAACTCTCAGGAGATCACCCAGTGAAGAAGAGGACGATTTTAAAACCTCATTTGACCACTTGCTGTCAGCGAGCGTCATTCAGACCAGGGACCCTCCTGCCCTCTCCAAACACAGCCACGCACGCACGCACGCACGCACGCACACACAGTATTGCTTTTCTTTCATCAGTGAGTTATGAAACTCAGAAGGGCCTCTATGACACAAACACAAGCTCCCTCCTCAGTGATACAGAACGCCCATAACTATTGATCATGTCACTGCCTTTCAATCAATTGTGATGGCTGTCAGTAAACACAAACTGTTACCATTATCTCGGTGAGTGACTCATAAATATTTCACAACGGCTTGCGCTTGTGTGAGAGCTGCCCTCGTTTGTCACTATTACCTTGTACAGGGTTAACTCCAGCCATCACTCATGAGAGCGACAAAACGTGATTCATGGGGTCAATATGAGCGGCCAGTAAAAGCCAAACACAGGTAACAAGATGGAGAGGGAGATTGGTGCTGGATAGGTCATTTGGAAATTGTTCTGGAATCAGGGTCATGAAATGTCAATCCATCATGTACATTCATTATTAATCGCACAGGAAGCAACATGTCTCCATCTTGTCTAATCCAATACACCCTGGCATGCAGTTAGTGGTTCGATATCGTCCATACGTTTTAACGTAGGGGTCTGAGAAGCCGTTGACGTCCATGGCTGCCAGGTGGGCGCAGCGCTTGACGCCGACACACAACCCGCCACGAGCCCTCTCCTTGGCCTCACCCTTCACATCGCCATCACTGGAGGGGGGGAAGTACTGCAGGCAGAGCAGCAAACGGCCTCTCTCCTCTAGACTTCTCATCTGCTCAGTCTCCCACTGTAGAGATAAAGAGGGGATACAAGAGTGTATTGAAAAAAAGGTTTGGCTAAAGGTTCAGAGCTAAAAGCAAGCCTTGACCTGCTGATGAAACGGGCAACAATATTCAAGTTGTTCTAGCTTCGGTCCTCATTATTTTTTTCTAGATTAAATGACTTTTTATAATGTAAAAGGGGTCACTTGAATCAGTGAATTATGTGGTTTACTGACTTCCAGGTCATTTGTATTTGTTTTACTGCCTACTTTACTGTTTTACTCTTACTGCTCTCATAAAAACTCTATTCTATTGTGAAATATTGAAGCATTCAACAGTTAAACAATAACAATCTCCAAGATCTCTCTTTCCGCTGATGATCACTGGTCATCCAGTTTGTAATAAGGCAATGTATTGGCATTCTTCAGTAAGCCAAATGATTGTCGTGTTCCCTCTGGGTTTTTCTTTTGTGCACTTTTTTACTTTAGTCATTTATTCTTAAGTATATTGTTTGTTGCATTGTTGAAGGCAGCCTGGGACTCAGGATTTCCATTGCAAACAACTAAGCTATAGCTAGCTGTACCTCTGAATTTGAATTTAAATTCAGTGAAAAATAGCCTTTGAAATGATTGCTTTGAAAAGCGAGATATTTCCCTCAGGTTTAGGTAAAAAGATCAACATAGCTTAAAGTAGAGTGAATACTACACTTGTGGACTCAAACACAACTTCAAATGAATGCTAATGTGGCTTTGTGTCTGTTAGATGTGTAGATAAACCATAGCTGGTTGCAAACACGCTTCAAATATCAACTGAATAATATGTCAGTTTTGTGTTTACTGAGGCCAAAAAAAATGAATGTATGCAGGTTTAAAGCTGCAGTCAGTAAACAAACCCTGGCAGTACAGTACAGTTCATCCTGCGTCAGTGCAACAGAAATAAAAGCAAGCGTATGTAACTTTTACTGAACAGTGACCGCTGTTGCTACAGGTGACCGGATAAAAGCTTCAACACAGTGTAATAGTAAATGTCTAGAAGATCGTAAAACACCCACAATGTCTTTAGGAGACCCAAAACAAATCGATTAAAGTTTATGTTTATTTTATTTAGTCCATAAATGAACATGCAAGGCTGTAGCAGCACACCCCTGAGTGCATTGAACTGAGAAGGGTGAGTTGTATTGTTTATGGATTAATTTATTTAGAAGGTGGGAAGTACAATATGTTCTTCTCTATAGAGTTAAACAGTCTTGCTTCAAAATGTATAAGTGTCCTTTGCTGTAATGTAAACCATCTAATTTCCTTCTAGCAAACTAGGAATGCATGATAACATCGTCACGTCATCAGTATTGGCAGATAAAGGCTTTATAATGAAATCTCAGCATCCAAAAATAAACGTGTCCTGATATGACAGGCTGATATCTATATTTTGCATAAAGACATTTACTTTTTTTTTGGCAGTAGGAAGAATAATATGTGAATTCCGCTACAGAGGAGACTAGATGTCCTCTGCAATTGAGTGGTAAACAGTAGGTGTCTGCAACAGTAGCGGTTTCGAAATTGTCACAACGAGCTGGAACATTTCAGCACGTTGACACAAATCCAATAACTTACATCCCTGAAGCAAACAACTGAAGACGATGTTCTCACAGCACGGTGACGCACACTCATGGCCGACAGCACCAACACATGTGTGGTATTTATAGGATTAGCCGTTTTCATCTCGGCAGGTGCATCTTTTTCGGGTTATCTTTTCTGATTCTCCACAGAAAAGGCTCCGTTTTATTGCCTATCATATAAAATGGGTTCCATCTCTTAATATCTATTTTATCTTTTTTTATCCATTTCCATCTCTCATTAAGTCTTATCTTGAGGCGAGAGGTGGACACAGGCAGGACGATCAATATGCCAAACGCTCCTTTCTCTTTTAACTTAATCTCTTTCCTATTTTTCCCCCTTCTCCTTGTTCCTATTTTACTTTGGGACTCATCATTACTGCCAACAGCCAGTTCGCCATCTGCCGTGACAGAGTAGACTACTTTAAAACTCGCAATTAGTGAGGATAATTTGCAGCAGGTATCTGCTGATAGAACAGCTCAGACCTTCACAGATCGATGGAGAGCAACTCATTAGGGAGGTCGAAAAAAACAGGCATCAATGTGAAGCCAGCCACACACAGCGACAGACGAATGGGACAGAGATAAATACGTGGGTGGGTCTGCAAGGGATGGAACTGGCAAGACGATCACATTAAACAACCTTGAATGTGATGAGTAACACACACGCAGCTGCTTAACTCCAGTTATTTTAATGAAGTGAAAGGACTACACTTCTTTTACTCCATATGTGATGAGAAGGCTCTCAAATCTGCTGTGCGTCTACAAAAATAATACATTAGGTTATTTCTTAAGATATTGGCTTGCTAGTTATAGAATCAGACCTGTGTGTGGGAAGTTTTCCTCCTTTACTGTAAATCACATGCAAGTTGTTCTTGGCTTACATCAGCAAAATAATATAATTCATTTCATAGGCAATAAAAAAGACACCCAAAGTATACTCAGGGTTTTTGCTGCTACAGCCCATTAAATGGCCGTTATTAGTTGTTATGATTACCATTATAATACGAAGCGAACTGCACCCTCATGCAGTAAAACGGTTGCAGTTTAAAATGTAGTTAATGTTGTTTAATTAAAACAAAACAGCTTGGTTAGGTTCAGGACAACATTAGAGTTTGGATTAAGAGGGCGTATTATGCTTTTGGGTGGGTTTTCCCTTTCCTCTAGGGTTCTTTTGGTGCATGTAAATGGTCTGCAAAGGCTAAAATCCCAACGTCCCCTCCAGAAGGGGTTTCTCTCCCACACATCCCCCTCCCCCCCTGCCTGAAACACGTCCATTGGACTCCTTTGTTAACTTCTGTAACATAATGATATCACTGTCACACTTGTGATCTCCAACACATTGTACATGATAGGCTAAAGGGGCAGGACATCTCTAAGCGGTTGACCAATCACAACAGAGATGGCCAGCTAACCAATCAGAGCAGACTGGGCTCTGGTTTCAGACAGAGGGTGAAAAGAGGTGCTGCAGCACAGGGAGTAGGAGAAAAATAAAGAGCTTTTTGAACATTAAAGCATTTAAACCGGTCACAGTAGAGACACTAAATACAGATATGAACCTGAGAATGAACATGATGGGGCCCTGTAGTATAAGTTACACAATTAAAACGAGTCAACAAACAATGTTCTTTGTTCGGTTTATCTGTCCATCCACCCCGGCACGCTCAAAGCTGACTTTTGCCATTTATGCTATTTCGCCTGACTTCCCTTTTTTCTTCCATCATAAATATTATGGCTAATATAGATGGCTGCCATTTTGAACCTCCCTGCATAGATCCACCTAATGAATAGATGATAACAACCAACTGAGCCAATTAGGAAGTAGAGGAAGGCCTTACAAACTCAACTCTGTCGTCCTGATGACAAGTGACATCGCCCATTTAATGAGCTGATGACACTAGAAGCTCGTGATGTTTTCATGTAAAAATAACAGGAGTCGTGTGGTCACCTCTCTCAGGTAGCAGGAGATTCCTCTAAGGGCCGTGCTCATCGCCGTCGGTGAAGGCAGCTGGAGGCAAAGAGTAGAAGAGATGAATAATTAGGAGGGTATGAATGACAGAAAAGCTGTACAAGCAGGTTAGAGCAGCTAAGGTTAAACGGGAATAGACGGTGAAGCCACTCTGAAAATGACAGGCCCGACACAGTGTCTGGTTCGCAGGATGACGGGGGGGCTTCAGCGTTTGATCGCAGAGTGGCCATCGGCCTCAGAGGACCAATCTATTACCAGCAGCCCTTTCTAACTCCGAGAACAAAAACACAGCAGCCTCCCGTCCCTTTAACAAACACATGCCCCCTTCTCTCAGCCACTTTTATTTTCTAATCCATTTGTTTCTCACCTCTCTCACTTGCTCTCTCTCACCATTGACACTCCACCATGCAACCCCCCATCTCCTCTAGCCTTTATTCCCCCACTCTCTCTATGTACCCTTTTCCAACAAATAATCCGGCTGACATTTAGCCTGCACAAAAAGCTGTCTGTGAGCTATGAGAACAGACAGGAAACTCTGTCCTCTGTTTACCTGAGATTTGTTTTTAGATATTGTATTTTTATTCGCACTGATGTCGGCTGACATTGGCTCAATGCACAATATCCTGTATGGCTAAACGTCTATGTAAGCTTCACTGTTGTTGGGATAGTTTCCGTCTGTTTCTCTTGGTTTGTCTCCTTTAGCTCAGATCAAGTGATACGTTTATGCTACTCATCATACAAAGATTGTCTTGGTGAACAGGAAGTCTCTTTGATGTCTGACATTGTAAAGCCGTCATGAACAAACGGTACTCAAAGAAATGTATGAATCTGACTACTTTGCTCACTATTTTGTATGTACAGGTTTTTAATGTTAGAAAACCAGCTAAAAACATGCAATTTCCAGGTGCTATCAGTCAAATGTGCCTTTCTTTTTTTGTTTGTTGAATCAGGTTGGATGCTTAGTTTCAATTTTGGCGGTAACGAGTCTTTTATATCCGTTATTTATCGCTCTTTCAAACTATCTCACCACAGTATGTGATTGTTTAAGACTTAACAAAGATGTTGTTGAGTTTTTTTTTGTTTCCGTCAAGTTAATCAATGATATTGATGTTTCTTTACATGGAGCCTGTTGGCTTTGAGGACATGTTGCAGGTCAATACAATATATTAATTGTCTATATCCCTGTCGATTAACTCCTCGGTGCTTGGGCAGCCACTACTGCTGAGTCAATTGTCCTGGGAGTGAATGCTGATTGCATCCTTCTCCACTAAAGCCAGATGTTAGTGTGTGTTTTTGTCCGGTGGGAAAGGGGCGCATCCCAGCCACACAACTCCTTCTTCCAAGGAAGCTGTTATAGAGCATATAAGCAACAAAGGTTTTTTAAGATTGTGGAATAATATAATCAACAATCATATCTAGATGTTATGCTGAAGTTTCTGCGCATTTCATTCCAAGTAGCTGCATATTATGTATCTGTGTGGGCCTATTAGTGTTGTTTTTCCAATTTTAATTTGTACAGATGCTTGCCATTTCATATATTCTGAGACCCAGGAGTGTATTTCCCATGCATCTAAAAAATATTGACATTTTAGTGTTGCATCCCCGTTGGCACGTAAACAATTTCCTGCCTTCCCTCTTCACCTCAATTCCCTCCTCCTGTCAACGTTTTCACTTTAAAAGATGAGGTTGTGAGTCACACAGGAAGCCCTAATAGTTTGAATATTACGGTGCCAGAAAGGCATTTATCTCCCTCATACACACTACACATCCCGCTTTCCTCCCTTTTTATTCCTTCTGCCCCCCCTCTGCTCTTCTCACAGGAGGTGGATGCTCCAGACAGATGTTAAAGCGTTTGGTCTGGTCCAGCTTCACGCGACGCAGGGCCACCCGCGACTCCCCGATGAACTCATTATGTGTCAGCTTGTCTTCGTCGCACACCGACACCCTGGGAGTGAGAGACAGGAGAGGGAGGGAGGAGGAGGGGGTGGGGGGGGGTCATAATTCAAACAGGGTAAGATGGGGAGAAGAGGAGAACATGAATACGAGAAGCTAATTATAGGACAGAGAGCTTGACAGATGTGTGAGGAACGGGTGGTGGAGTTAGTTAAACAACATTGCAAATTATGACTCATTTAATTATTCTTAATGCTGTGGCAACATTATAATGAGAAAAGGAAATTGGTGACATGAACCTGACCTGAATTTAAGAAGATCCTACGCATAAATCCAGCATCTCTATATGCACATTGTTCAAGTAATTACATATCCCCCCCCTGTGGGGATTAGATAGTGCGAAAGTGCATCATGCAAAGTTAGGTCAATCCGTATTTATGCGACTGGAAAACGTTCACACCTGCCATTATGTCACCAGAAATGAGAAGCGGTGAGGAGTGAAGGAGAAGAAGTGAGGCTGTATGTGAAATCAAAAGCTAGCAAGTGAGGGATGAAGTGATGTGGGTGAGGAAGAGAGATAAAAATGGAAGACTGTGTTTAAATCTGTATGTGTGTGAGATGGGACTCATTTATGCATGCAAATTAGGGATGCCAGAAACTGACCATGATCAAAATCTGCTGCTGGCTTCCTCCAAGTTTACAGTAAAACAAACTGGTGATGTGACCAATGGCCATTTACAATTATTAATACTATTACTATTATTAGCATTAGTCTATATTTTGGTTGAAACTAAACCAGGAAAAAAAAAAAAAACATAAATAATAATAAAAAATTATAAATAAAATCGAATTTTAAAAATAATTTTCGATTATGGAGACTGTAACGAATATTCGAATAATCGCTGGCATCCCTAATGCAAATGTACATGTCTATGGGCAAAAGTGAAAATCGGTATTCTACGGGATAACTGACTTCCAGAATGATGGCTTTTCCGTTGCTGTGTGTGAATGTGAATGAAAGACAATGGGAAGAAGCAAACTAAACATGCAATCTGTCAGAGAAGTCCACATGTGAACGTGACGCCTCTTCGCTCTTGGATTTATTCAACTTCTAAGTCAAATTCATGACCACAGAAAATAAACAAAAACACGTAGCAATCACCTGCTGCCTTCAAGTTGCCGTAATAAAACACGGTAATGCAGAATTGAAGAAGGTGCAAGAGTTCAGTTGCCTGGGGACGCTGGTATGATGCACAGGATCTGGAAGCTTATGAGGGTCACAGAATCAAATGGCAAAAGGAGGAAAGGAAAAGACAGGAAACGGGAGGATGAATCAGAGCTGAGAGGTGAAGATGGTGTGTCAGATGTACGAGCGAAGGACCGCTGTGATGAAGAGGGCTTGAGGACGAAGAGTGGCGAGTGAGAGTACGATAGGTGAAAGAGTCAAGAGCCGTTATGATGTGAGACGGCATGTGTTTACTGTTGCTACATTTCCTACTGCATCAAAAAGACCTCATGTTGTTAAAGCAGGTCGATAATAGAATCAACACCTTAAATGTCCATCTTAAACGTTCAACTAAAGATTGTATACTTTACAGTTTTGATTGATTGATTGAAAAGTTTATTAACAGCTTGTATATTGGGTACAGTACAGTACAGCTCAAAACATACAATTGTTAAGGGGATGCAGACCAGAGAAAGACTTTCGTCTTGTTTACATCAGGGTCCCCCATTTCCAATTCATCATATCACAGTCCTTTTTGAAGTGTCCCAGTGCATGGGTATTAGTTCAGTCATGAATCAATAATGACAGTTTTTAATCCGGCTCTTATGGAGCGTCGTTGCTGCCGGGAAAATAGATTAAAAGATAGATATGATAGAAATGCTTATGGTGAGAGCTATTTAGCCTGAATAGCTCAAAAGTATTACTTTTCAAGGCAAATTTATGAGATAATAAAACTGAATATTGACTTAATTTCTAATAACTGTGATCTTTTGTCTCATAGTTTTGTAAATAAGACGATAAATACAATACATTACTATTTCATAGATATTTTTAAGTATGTTTATTTGTATCATTCTTAACTTGTTTATATCTTTTCTTCTCTTCACTTGACAGGAGCAAACTTCCATAGCCTCTGATTCTTATTTTGCTAAAGTTATTTGGCCTACAGATGAATAATAAATGAAAAGGATTGTAATTCATCACTTAATGACATCATATAAATGCACAATTGCAATTTTTGTGAAACTGTATTCTTAATCAAATGTTATTTATATAGCCACATATCAGGAAGTAACACAGGGGGCTTTAGAATCTTGCAGCACTTTCTGGTTGGAAGCAGACTCCATAACGGAGCTGCGTTTTTTCCACTTTAGAAAAATAAGTAGAAAATAGTTTTGCCCTTTTTCAAACAGAGCCATATCCTGTGGTTGCATTGAGTCCTGGTCGAATAAAGCTGCTGTTGGTAGAGACATTGAAAAACTACCCTTTTCTGTGATGGATTTCTTTCTTTCTGGAAGGAAACCCTGCTGGTTAAGTCCGTAGAGACACACTGGAAGAAAGCCATAGATTTTCACTTTTACACTGTGCTTAGTAAAGCGCAACAAAATAGAGGTAAAATTGCAAGGATATCTACAGTAGATGTGTTAAGAGTTGGTTTAATCCTTAGAAATGTTCCCCCGTTTAATTATATCTATTACATTATCCAGTTTTATTACTACAACCTGTCACTTTGTAGACAGTTTCAGTGCATTGGTATCTGCGATGTCAACATGTGTTCATGACTCGGTAGGTTAAACTTCCTGTCTGCAGATCTTTCAACGCGTCGGCTGAATTAACACAGTGTCGTATGATGGTAGCAAGGCCGGCTTCGCTAATTTCCCCCGAGAGATTAACCGTCGGTCCTATTTAAATCCCACTCCCACATAACGCTTTGGCAAAGTTTTAGTCACAGGCAGAAACAATTCGCAGCTTTCGTCACCTCTGGAGGGGGTCAATGAAATTAAAACACCCCGTGGTGCTTTCTCTGACCTCAATCTGTCACTGCAACTTGGGAAGAGAGAAAGGAAGGGAGACAGACGTAAAGGAAAGACAAAGAGAGAAGGATGCTTCAGAAGAAGTGAGGGGAGATCTTTCCTGATCCTAGTGGACAGGAGAGATGTGGGCACTAAAGGAAGGAAGGTGAGGTGACAGACGGGGATCAGCAGAGGTAGCAGAGAGAAAGGATAAAAGCCTCTGTGATGGAGATGGACGATAAGAAATCCTTTGTAAGCAAGAGGCAGCTTACAGACGGGCAAGACAAAGCAGAGAGGCCGAAAATAGCCATGAAGCAAACATTTACCGGAGAGTTTTGCGGTACATATCTTCCTCGGTGATTCCACAGTAGGTGAGGGTCTCGTTCCACACCGGGTTCAGCGTGTTGCGCACCGTCTTGGTTTTCAATTTGTTGGCCTGTGCAGAAAACAGTCATCTCAGAGCTGCTAGTAGCACAGAAACTCAACAGGAAAACACATTTGAACTGGCTTCAATGTCATTTTCTTCAGAGCGTGTTTATAGATCTGCACTTTCATAATGCAGCTTGAAATTGTAGCTAGACTAAGTGCACTCCAAAATCCTGCATATCTTTTCACAAAAGCACAAGGATGAGGCAAATAGAAATCAGACCTTGCAGGCTCCCGGCAGCAGGTGCAGCTTCACATAAGGATCAGACAAACCATTGAAATCCATCGGCTTCAGACCCTGATGGAGACATGGAGAAAAGATTTAACAGAGGGATGTAAAATAATTGGCCGTGAACACCGGTAGTACGTTGTTAAATGATTACTGAGGGGTGAAGAATGACTTTACTTATTGAATCTGAAGCACAGTGCTAGAGAGAAGGTGAGGGAGCAATCATTTTACAGATTCAGTTGACCAGGGAGCCGTGACAACTGAATCTTCTGCTACATACTGATAAGAGATGCATGTATCTCGAGTCTTTGGAACTTCAGGGTCCTGTTGTCCTGATATGAAGCTTGTTTACCAAAGTTACTCATAACTCGTCGTTCTAAGACCGACCCTTCAACCATCTAGACTTGATTCATCTTCTCGTTAAGACCGGGTTTAAATCTTAAGCCTGGTCAGGAGCAAGACTGAAACCAAAATCTGAGTTGAGACAATCATGTATCCAGCTTTAAGGCCACCAATGTTGCCAAACCCTGGTAAATTTGACAAAAACGTTCTCTAAATCTAAATGACATAACACCACTTTAAAGCGACAGCTGGCAATAAGACAGCAATCTGTGGGACCAAAGTGGTGTCAACATGCTAGATGAGGTGAATAGAGAAGAGTGAGTGTCATGTTTACTACCCAATTGTACACATACAAACTGCATGATATATGCACAACATATACAGTATAAGGTACTATGCAACCACTATACTGTCATAAAATCCTGTTGGAAATACTGAACTGACACAAATGTAACTTTTACATGTTATTGTCACAAGATAAAGTACCTGTGATGGCTCTGGTTGAGTTTCAGAGTATTTACCTTGGCTTTTATGACTGTGCAGTGTAAGGAGCTGGTGGCTCTCTCGTACAGAAGCTCAAACTCCAACGTCCCCAAGGCGGCTGTAAGACAGTGGATGAAGATGTTTTAGTTACTCTGGTTATTGCTTAAGTGCTTTTCTTTTCATTAGAAAATAATGGTCTGAAGCAATGTAGACACTCGGAAAGATATTCACATTTAGAAATGTTTTCAAAATAACCTTATCCTCTTCCATTTATAAAGGCCTAGTAAGCTAACCTGTGGCTAATGGCTGTAGCTTCATATTCAACTTGCAACACGAGAGCCGTATTGATCTTCTCATCCAACTCTCAACAAGAAAACAATTACAGGTCCCAGAATGTTGTACTGTATTATTTTAAGATACCTTTAGAGAGGTCTCCTTTTGAACCAAATACAATTGAAACATTTCAAATTAGCTTGTGTTTTTAACTAAATAAAAAAGTTTAAGCATTAGCTCATTCTAGATTCAGCTGGAAACATCTGCTTGGGATAGTTGACAAAGTCTAATGTTGTTTTCTATAAATGAGAAGGCTGATTTAGTTTCCTTTTGTGTGAAATCAAAGAGTCATTGTTCATGTGAATTATGATGCTACCGTCATGACTGTAAACAGTAAATGTACTGTGTGAGAACACAAACTTGACAGGTGTAGCAACACCACTTTAGCTAAGGCTCAAATGTTATTTCTTCAAGGCCTTTTGTTCTAAATCCACATCTGCGCTGAGTGACCTGCTATTATTGGACTCCAGCAGCTTTAGTGAAACCAGGTTGTGACTTTCAGGTGACTCACTGTTATCATCGCTGTCACAGCTGTCGATCTCGATGGAGGTGTCCATGCTACTCATGGCTGACAGCGAGCCCCCACCGCCCGCCGCACCTGGTAACAACAGGCTGCTGCTCCCTCGTCCCACTGCTCCTCCACCTTTTTCTGCGCTGCTCGGGCTGAGCGATGTGGGAGCTGCTACCTGATTGGGCGAGAGCGGCTCGGAGAAGGAGGAAGTGGGCGATAAGCGGGGGAAGTAGGCAGAGATTTGACGGATAGGGCGTATAGGGCCCGGGCAAACATCGATGGCCATGTGCTCCTGGATGGAGACGGCTAACGTTTTTCCTTTTCGCACAGCCATAGGGCTGCAGGGAAAGAGACAGAGAAAGATGGAGGAAGAGATAAATCCCAACAAAGACGGGAAGATATTGATCCACAGACATGAGCTGCTTTTATCAATTTCATCAAGGTGAGCTTAGTCAGGAATTTGGTTCATTTCAATATCCTCTCAACTAATAGGACGTTTTCATATGCCATATAGTCAAGAAGAACACAACTTATAATGGGGAGCATTTATATGAAATTGCTCTTGCACTGAAACATCTTTCAACATAATTAGAACTCTCTAAAAGAAAGACATTACTTAAAAGATGAATAAGTACAGAAGAGATATACACACATTTGCATTTCAATTGAATCTGTCTGAATAATCTGACACTCAAATCTTATATTTGAGTAGCTTGTATGTCTTGTAATAATGGACCAAGAGTCTCTTTAAATAAAGATGATGATGATGATGATGAAGCCTATCAGCGAGAATACAGGATTACATCCTCGAATAAATAGAAGTGTGTGCGTGAGCCACCGAGGCACACATGTTCTCTTAAGTGCTTAACAATCCTCCGTAGAACGACAGGTAATTACAGGATGGAGTCTGGGATGCTCCACTCGGGTGGTGGGAAGACTCCCGGTGATTATATAAAGTGTGTGTGAGCAGGGAGAGGAGTTGACCACCAGGCTGATGTGTCTGCTCTCTTCCCAAAATAAAAAGGAGGGGGGTGGATTGCAAATCTCACACAGCTTTTGTTTTCTAAAGCCAGCAGGCCTTGAGGGGGCGTTCTGTCCTCAATACAGTCCCCCCCCCCCCCTCTCTGGACTACCTTCTGCTCTCTCCGCATCAATCGATTGAAACTGAGATGTGAATATTTGCACTTCCTCTGTGTTGTCTGCAACGACACCTACGCACGATACGACTCTGACAGATTACTGTACTCCCAGAACCAAACTGTCTGTTTTATAACGTGCTATGGGGTTGTTGTGGTTTGCACATGACACTAGTGATCATTGACAAGGGGGGTCAGGCTTCACACTAGGAAGAATCCCTCTGTCTCATATTAAAACTACAGTGTATGTTCAGTTAACAAAGCACATGCGAAAAGAGATACGGGTAAAGACCCAGATCACGTACAAGAATCACGTTCTTCCAATATTGGATGTTCGTGAGAAGCTAAAGTTGTGTGTGTGCTCATTTGCAACGAAAAACGAATAGAGACCAAAAAGATATGGAGGACAGAGTTGATTGGGAAATGCAGAAGGCATTGATTGTCTGTGCTCCAGAGTTGGTGGTGAATTAATAACATTGCAATGAGAAAGTAGCTGTTCAAACTCAAGCTGTTACTGTACAATACCCTTCTACCATCTTAATTGTGACCATATGGCCTTAGTGTTTATCATTTCCCAAATATATGTTTTATTAGAACATTTTATCATATATGTCGTTTTAAATGTAAACGAGAGGGAATAAAACCAATCATCTGTTGAATTTTACAAAACAAGACTTCATTTCCCTTTTTAGATGAATCTAAAGACAAAGCGTGACCTACTGTAACATAGAGCTTCAAATCAAAGTCTGGTCTTGGGGAATTGTGACAACCCTAGTGTTAACACTTTGGTTCTTATTCACATTAAATGTTATCAACATGGTATTTAGTCAGCTTTAGAAGACGTGGAGGTTGATTTTGTTCAGACAGTCCTTAAACCTGGAAATTAGTTAGCATTTTACAACTTCCAGTTCCTTTGTTTCAAAGTCAACATGTTTTTCGTTGGACGACTGAACGTGGTAAACACTAGTTGAGGAGTTTTGTTCTACTAAATAAAATATGTCAGTAAAACACCGCTCTTTAGAGGGTGGACTCACTGCCATGATAGAAACTGCAGTTGACAGTTTAAGTATCACAGCTCTTCAGAAACCTGTTAGTAAAGTCTTGGACACTACATACATGTATACAGTCTATCTATGGTCCAGACCAGTAAACAGAATAAATACAGACCCTTCACTGGCCATGATTAAGTCAATGTGACCGATGGTGCCCTGGCGGAAAGTTCCTCTGAAATGTTTGCCTCTGACTGTTGACCTTCAGCAGAGATACAGGCAGCGAGGATCATTTCTCATGTTTGTCCAGTTTCTGCTGAGAGCAACAGTGGGTGACACACATCCAGCTCTGTCTTGGCTGCAGATGAAACAAACTGTTTGATACACCATGAAGTGTGTCAGCCTTCAAACTTCCTCCACTGTTGACTGAGAGGACTTTGACAGACCATGATGGACATCTTTCCTTTTGAAAATCAGCAGCAGCCATTTTGGTGCCACAAAGGTCAAACCAGGGGAATTGATGACTTCTGAGGCGCCGCCAAAGGGTCAGAATTCATCGCTGCTCAATTAAACAGCGCACAGATAACGTTGATTCTCCTGCACTTAGGGAGGAGGTGCTTTGATTGTCGTTTATGTAAATGAGCTTGAATGTGTCCTGTCTGGGTGTGATATGTTTAATGTACCATGTGTAATGGCACCCTGATGTGCATGGAAGACATTTCTGCCTTTTGCACACATACATTTGATTCTTAATCTTAAAATAACACAGCTTCCGAAAGCGATTTAAAGTCTGGCACAACATTGAAATTATCTTAAATTAAGCCGATGATTGCACGACATTGAGAAGAAGGAAAAGATGAAAACAAATGAATGAAACTCCCTGCAATGGAGATGATTATTGTAGCCAGAGTTGATTAAAAGATGCATTTATTTGCATCAGTGGATAATAATAATTGTTATAATGACTAATGTATAATCCCTCAAAGCAGACGCAAATACATTCACAAAGGCAGGCCATCAGACGTACAGGCATGATAACTTCCGTCAGATCATTAATTCATCTCTCTCCCCACACACACACACACACACACACACACACACTATGCAGCTGTTGCAGGCCTGTGAGCGAGTGTCTGTTGATATAATGTGCGCAGTCAGTCGCCTCCCAGTCCTGGCAGATGTGGCCGTGAGCTGCCTGAACACCAGCAGCTCCAGCAGCACAAGTAGAGCTGGTGGGGAAGCAGGAGCTCATAATTGATCGCCCTCATGCTGCCAGCTGGAATCCCTCTCTCATCTTCCCTTTTCATCATCATCTTGTTGCTGAGAAATGTCACCCTCTAAAATAACAAGGCTCAGATTACACCTCACACTTCTCAGGGTTTTTTATTTTTTTCCGTACGCGCTGAAGCTCATTTACATACGACTCTTTTAGCCTCCGAGCACATGGTTTAACTTCTTAACATAATTCCTATAAGCGACACTATAATAATGGCCTGACTTGTTTGTCACGTACATTAGCCCCTTTGGCGGTTGGTTATGCAACCGCACACAGTCATGCATTTCAAGCTTGGCCCCCATTTATTCCTGATGTTACATAGGTTCGAGATGGAGGAATGAAGAAGACAAGAATATCTTTGTGCAACATGCGACCTCTTCCCCCCCTTCCTCTTTTAGCTCCTTCACTTTAAATTAGAGTCATATATCAGGCATGAACCCTCAACCCCCATCTTCTACCTCTTCATCTCCACCTTTTATGATCCATTTCATCTCTCGTCTCCCATCTTTATGTCATTACCTCACCTGTGAAGACTTTCTCAGACGGCGTTATTCCACCTGTAGGTATGTGAGATTCTCTCGCTGTTGGTTCTCGTCTTCTTCTCACATAATTTATAGCTAACCACGTGACAGTGAGCACTTGTCAATTAGAGCCAAGTTATTTTCAGGCTGCCAGGGATGAGTAAACTTCAAATGTGCCAGTGACAAGTGTGTGTGTGTGTGTGTGTGTGTGTGGTGTGTGTGTGTGTGTGTGTGTGTGTGTGTGTGTGTGTGTGTGTGTGTGTGTGTGTGTGTGTGTGTGTGTGTGTGTGTGTGTGTGTGTGTGTGTGTGTGTGTGTGTATGAAGGTGGGAAAGAGGTGAAGGAGCAGGTAAAAAGAGACTAAAACAGACCACATGTTGCACCTGCCTGCTGTGTGATAATGATGCAGAATAAAACATCTGTAAGCCTGGTCTCTACTGCATTAGCTGTAATTCTCTTACATACATGACAAAGCAGACAAGTACAAGTGTAGATTTAATTATAGTTATAGAGGATGAAGGAAAACGTGTTTTTCAAGACGATATGAGAAACATAAATGTGAATTTCCCGCAGAGAAATTAAGTGAAAAAAACACATTTATCACAATATTAACGCCAGAAGATAATCATAAAGATATTGACTTACCTCACTGGTAGTGCGAGCGTCAAACTCCTCATAAAAAAACAGGGGATTCCAGTGCGGAGCGGAGAGGGAGACTAACTAACAGGTGGCGAAGAGAGGAGCCGAAACAAAGGGGAAGAGGAGGGGGGAGACAATACGAGAGAGAGAGGGGGAGAGAGAGATAGGGAGCTCTTTGTGTATCATAAGGAATTAAATGCAAGAGTAGTTCAAGTTGATGTAAAGAAAAAGCGAGGAGCTGAAGGGGGGAGAGGAGAGTGGAGTCCTGGAGGAGGAGGAGGATGGAGTCAAAAGGAAGAGAGGAAGAGAGAGAGGCAGCGGGGAGTTATTACTTGACAGTCTGTTGTGCATGTGGCTGTTTCACCTCACTCCCTCCTGCAACCCCCCACCATCACACACACACACACACACACACACACACACACACACACACACACACACACACACACACACACACACACACACACACACACACACACACACACACACACACACACACACACACACACACACACACACTCACTTAATGTGTTTAACACTTGGGGGGGACATTGCATTGACTTGCATACATTCCTTGAAGACTACAACTAACCATAAAGGATAAGGCAGGTGTTATTCTACATTTTCCCATATAAAATCCAATATTTATTTAAAAGGAATCCTAATTTGTTGTTTTTAAATAGTAAAATATCAGGCTGGCAGTGTTCTAGTACCATCTTAGAGTAATGCAGTCTTACTATCTGCTAGGGTCGCTTGAATGCAGAATGAAACCTCTTTATTTGTAGGAACAATGACTGCTCTGACCATAGTCCAATGAAAACCTTCAGTGCCCTCTATAGGTAGTGATGCAGGAAGTAGGGAGTGTGTAGCATGTCAAATATCCAAGCAGGAGATCGGAGATAGCGTTATAGCCTGCTATTTTAATTCATGTTTACCTTTTTAATTGACCGTAACCAAATTATTCATCCAACCTAGATCAACCATCAAATATCTAACGTAAGGCAAGGCAAGGCAAGGCACGTTTATTTATATAGCACTTTTCAACACAAGGCAATTCAAAGTGCAATTCAACGTAAACTCTACATGAACCGTAGCAGTGATTTTATCCTAGTCTAATCCGTACAGCTAACCGTGTCTGCTACACATTACATTTCCATACGATTGCATTGGCAACAAAACAACTTGATTATGTTTGAATGAAATATAATTGTTTGGCTTAAAATAAGTATGTTTGTTAAATGATTTAACTAACAGTTGTACCTTTTTAAAAAAAAATAAAAAATCATGTTTCATATGGGACATGCGTTTGTTTGACCCACCATGACCTCCTGCCTAAGTGGACTTTGATTCAAAACCTATTTTGAATGTGTCAAAATCTAAATTAATCCAGGAAGGTACACTTCAAATTGTAATTGACAATGCATGGTTGTTTTGGAAGGTAATTTTTAAGGATGCAAAAATAACAAAATAAAAAAAAACATTTGAAGAAAGCTCAAATGTGGAAATGTTGGCATTAATTAGAATCTTTCCATATTGACATTCCTGTCAAGCAGTCGGGCAGAAAGCTCTAACAGCCTTCTGATATGTTATTGTTTTATGGATTTAACAAACAAGCTACTGTGTGAATGTTTTTCCAATTTTGAACAGAACCAGCCAAACTGAATCCCCTGCTTCCACTCTTTATGCTAAACTAATCCATTCACTCACACACAGACAGCACCTCTTATTAAATGCAGGCTTTGTATTAGTTTGAGGTAGAGAGGGACACAAAGTAAAATCTCTCCATCTTTCTGTCCTTGTTATCCAAACTAATACACTCTGTCTCTTCTGCTTCAAACAAACACAGTCTCTCCAGTCTCAGATCCTCCATATAATTAAGCTAATGGTTCTTGAGTCACTGATAGACAAGAGGATACATGCTATTTCCTCCCTTGTGGCTATTGAAGGAGCACAATTGGTGCTTTCTCTGTCTCTTTTTATATGACTTGTTCTTCTTTCCTTCAGTTTCGAGTCCACACTCTCTGAGAGTCCCTGTCTAACAAAAAGAGGAACGAAGAAGCTGTCACAGCACTCGCTGTTCAATAGACGTACTGCGTTTTTGTGTTATCTTCAAAACATGCTTGATGCCTTTGTTCAGTTTTCATCGAGTCTCTCTCCTTTATTATCTTATACTCCCCCACTCCAGTTTCCAGTTACTCTTTCACACACACACACACACACACACACACACACACACACACACACACACACACACACACACACACACACACACACACACACACACACACACACACACACACACACACACACACACACACACACACACACACACACACGTTATGGTCCTACTACTGTATTCAATTGACACCATGGCAGAGACATGCATGAATGCATTAACATAGCAATATAATGCATAAGCCTCCAGAGATGCATGACTCCCACTCCTTCATGCAAACAGCTCATGCCACACACGTTTACACAATCTCACAAAGACACACACACACACACACACACACACACACACACACACACACACACACACACACACACACACACACACACACACACACACACACACACACACACACACACACACACACACACAACACACACACACAGAGCGCAATGAAGAACAGACAGCCTGCCACCTCTGTCAAAAATACCCTCACAGTATTTCTGAATAAATTAAGCCCTTATCTTTTTGGGCTTTTTCCCCACTTCCCTCCCTCCTCTTTGTCATATCTCCACTCTCCTGCCTCTTGTTTATGAGGATTGAAAGTCTCCTCATTAAAAATGCATAGTCGTTACGTGCTCTTTCCACATCAATTATGTCAGGGATGGGTGCTGGTGCTTCAGTGAAAAACAGCTGACCACAACGGAGTCAACAATGGCTCTGACAAGAACAAATGACATCAGTCGGCCCGCGTTATACACAGACGACTAACACAGACGGGAATGGTTTCAATTCAATATGATTTATTGCATTGAGGTACATTTCATAAAGCACCAAATAGCAGAAAATGATCAACACCTGCTCTGTTTGTGTCTGGGAAAAAGGGAGACACAACTAGGCATTTATGCATTTTATACAAACAATACAATGTTGAATATTCTTTTACATAATTATACGCAATTTTTTACAGAACATTAATTAATTATACTTCTTGTTTTAAATAAGTGTTTAGGACCCCGTATATATTCAATCTATTTCATTTGATATTCTTTATTCATGAGGATATTGCACATTAAATCCACATTTCTGTAATTATGCAAGTGTTAGCCAGCAGGCACAATGTCATCCCTGTGGCCAAATGTTCTTGAACCAATGAACCGGTTTAGAAATACAAACAGAGAAAGACCCTGAAGACATATACTAATTACATGTTTGTTTAAATGTTATTAAAACCATAATCAGAATGTACAGTGTAACAGTATTTCAATTAAAACAACAGGGGTTTTAGTTTCAGTTTAGTCAGCTGTCAGATGTCTTTAGCTGAAGCTAACTTATCCATTTGTATTTGTTCCCTAGAATTTGTAATCATACATTTTGGAGCTTCAATACCTTACTACATTAATAAGGCAGTGGCTCAGCTAGTCTTGCCAAAAGCTAGCAAATGGTTGAGCGCAGTAGCAATGGCAGCGAGCGGATAGCTTCGAGTCCTAACATGACTCATTAATGAGACCTTTCCAGGGATTTAATGTTCTGGGCAATGTTTTTTCTTGAGTTCAAATGTTTGATGTATGTTTACTTAAGTCAGCTTAAGCATTTTTTTTCACTGAAAAAGATCGCAATGTTGAAAGGTCCCCCATTATACTATTTTTTAACAATATATTATAGGTCTTTGGCTCGAAATACCAAACAGATCATTTATTTATTTTATTTCTTTTTATTTAATCGTTTATTTGGCAGGGACAATGCACAGTAATGAACACTTAAAACATTCAAATGTATCAAGAGTAACAGCCAGATTTAGCTTTGAGCTAATTTCCATCCACAGTCCCTCATCATGCATTGTAGCATGCCGTAAACCCCTCTGTTTCAGCCCTTTTCCAAAAGTTCTGATTCTGTAGCTTTAAATGCTAATGAGCTGCTGCTGGCCACGCCCCTCTGCAGAGTGATTGGTTCAAAGAAACACAATGGTGCTCTAGGAGGAGATTCAGGTGATAAGGTCGTGGGTGTTACCTTGGTTGGTGATTGGCTAATGGTTACACAAGCCAAAAAATCGTTATGACATCATAAAGTGGCCAAAATCTGATCAGCTCATTTTCAGACAGGTTTTCATATAAATGTCTCAGGACAAAAAGAGAGAGAATATTTGTTCCTCTCTGAAAACAGATGGGACACATATTTGTGTATAAAAGACATGAAAAAGTGCATAACAGGTGACCTTTAATAAACCGTAAACTCAAAGAAATGGTTGAAGTTCCTGTGGTTAATGTGGCTCGAAATATACATCTTGAAGTAGCCCTACCGTGTTTTAAAATAAAGATCAAGTTAAATTGAAGAAGACTTAAATCTAAGACCATAAGACGGATACAATTGGAAGATGAAAATCAGTCTTATCTATTGTTACTGAAAAATCATCAAGAAGATAACTATTGATAGCAAATATAGTTTGTGCTATAATCTATGTTTGCCACAAACAAAATACTGTATAATAAAAGTTATGTTAGACATAATACAAAATACCTCTTCCCAAACAGAGCGACATATTGACTGCTTCACAACATGCAGTATGTGTTTCCTATAGATTTTTATAGGGGCATCTGCACTTGCTCAGATAATGAATAGGTTCAAACAGAGGCGGGCAGAATAAAAGAAACAATCTGAAAACACCAAGGTCGTCTTTTCTCTGACTTGGCGCCGTGCGGCAGCAAGGTCGCTGTGTACTGATCGGAAAGAAAAGGACTGGAGCTTCTCACGGCGTTCAGCCCCAGTGCTCCTTCCGCTTTGTCCCTCATTGAGATGAGATACTCGGATGTATTGCATGAGTCACTGGCCCATAAATGTGTGAAATAGAAATGCTTTCAATGAAAGTGGATGAAAAGTCTCATGGCAACATTTTGTAAAGAAATGCCGGCGCTGTTGTTCTGCCAGGAGGGTGACAGGAGAGGAAATTGCATCCAAATAACTGAGAACAAAGTTTGTTTAGAGTCGGCGAGGTCCTGATAATTTATTCCGGTAAATTACTCTGACCTACTAATTGACCTGACTGAAGTTATTGAGTCTATGTAAGTTTACTGCTTGGCTCAGATCCACCAACGTCAGCAAGATCTCACCTCTATTAACTCCCCGAAGACTGCTGTTTCAATTCAGACAACTCTTTTTTAATCTGTTTAAGGGATCCCGAAGGATTTTGATATCAGTAAATGGAGTGTGTTCCTACCTAAGTGTGAGTGTGGCAGGGTGCAGTCTTACCTTTGAAGCAGGAGAGGAGAGCACAGATTTTCTTTTAGTTGTCCCAATCCAACAGGTGAGATCAGTTTATTTGAAGAAAAATAGGTCCAAACTAATACAGGGTTTTTACCTTTTAACACATTATAATCATACGAAACATATCATGCTGGGGTTATATTTTTATCTAAAACCTTAATTCATATTTCTCATCTTTCCAAGGTCTAACTAGAGCTATTAGTCCTAAGGTCCTGTACGTATAAATAACGCATTCCAGGTAGGTCTAACTAGAACTATTAGTTCTAAGATCCTGTACGTAATAATCACGCATTCCAGGTAGGTCTAACTAGAGCTATTAGTCCTAAGGTCCTGTACGTATAAATAACGCATTCCAGGTAGGTCTAACTAGAACTATTAGTTCTAAGATCCTGTACGTAATAATCACGCATTCCAGGTAGGTCTAACTAGAGCTATTAGTCCTAAGGTCCTGTACGTATAAATAACGCAATCCAGGTAGGTCTAACTAGAACTATTAGTTCTAAGATCCTGTACGTAATAATCACGCATTCCAGGTAGGTCTAACTAGAGTTATTAGTTCTAAGATCCTGTACGTAATAATCCCGCATTCCAGGCAACCTTACCGAGAGCTATTTACCCAGCTCTGAGGGCCAGAGCCTACCGGGAGAGAGTATACCAGGGGTTTCCCCCTCTCTCTCTCGCTTTCTCAAAAAACCAGTCTCTTTATGCTCAAAAAACCGGATCGAAACCCCAAAAAACACCTCCTCTATTCCCAACCAACATCTTCTATTGGCTATGGCCTAAGACACACCTTCCCATGTGTGTGTAAAAAGGACATGACCCCTGTAGGACTTGAAAAATATTATTCTCGGCTATGACATAACAACCTTTTTGAGGCCTCAATGTGTTTCTCCTTTAAGGCAGGAGCCCCCCTCCCTGTGATCTGCTGTGAGAAAAAAGGGGAAGAAACTGCCCTCTTCCTTATCAGTGACACCCATAAATCATAGACCTTACACACTCAACCTAAACAAACCACTTTGTTTTGTTTATGCTGTAAATATAGAAAAACCTAAAATATGAAGCATTCTCATTATGGGTTCATACAAGAATATAATTGATCATATATGATTTATAATTAACTTTCGTTTTAAGTATTCACTTCATACTATGAATCTCTCAACAAGTTATAGGAGAGAAACAAGACATTTAAAACATTCAGATCCAATAACTGCAGATGTCATTTGTATGCAGTCATGGCTGACACTTACCTCCCAAAAATCAAATAAGGTTTAGGACAATGTAAAGTCTCCTATCTTGATCCAGGTGATTAATATTATTCAACCACACACTTGAGGCGATTGAGTCAATATCCAATAAGATGAAGTATAAACAGCACATCATTCAGAGAGAAGTCCAGACTACCTAACGAACTGTCTTCGCAGTGTTTCTCTCTCATCTCATGATTGGATAATCCATACTAATCTTTAGGGAAAGCACCTGCTGTAGGCATACCAAAATACACGCTTTGATGATATGACTTCATAAGTCCAGATGAGAAAGTGTGAAGCAATAATTGGAAGTATTAGCCTGAAGCGTGTGCATCTTTGTACTGAACATCTGCAAATCATCCGGCGTGCTGTCCTTGTTACCTTGTCTATTTTTCCACCTCATCCCCTATGGCGCTATACATCCAAAGGCAGGGAGTCTCTGACTAAGGCAGATATTATGAGTCCACTCATGCAGGTGTAGATTTGTTTGCTGGAAGAAAAAACATAAAACACATCTTAAAGCTGTTGTCCTCGAAGGAATTCTCCCGCACATGTTGCGTGAGGATATACAGAGAGACACTTAAGATATGTTTGGGAGTGATTCAGCGAGTGGCTGGAGGAGCAGTAACAAAGGTCAGAGGACAAGTTTACATGAGTGTATGACCAACTGTGACCTGTGCAGATGAGTGCGCAGACGTTAATGGACCCTCCAGCACAATGTGCATGTTTTATGTGTCTTACATTTGCTCATGGTAAAGTAAAATGTATGCAGGACAGTAGTTCTTCCAACCGAGAGGAATACAGCGGACAGTTTATACAATCATGAATATATTGTTTGCTAGGAAATACCTTATTAGATAAAGCGCTATATTGCACAAAAATCAATTCCATGGAGATGTGTAATAAAAGCAAGCCCGCAGGCGGTGATCAACTTGAAAAAAGCAGGGATGAATACAACTTCACAGCTGGTTTCAGCTCGCTAATTTCTCTATTGAACTTGAGGAGGAAATCACTCAGGGGAGGCAGCTATTAAAGATTTTCGCCTTTGCCCAGCCTGATTAGACAGTAATGACTTCTCACCTTCCTCAAATTACTGCAACCTTTCTTAAGGCACACCAATCTGACAACAAAGAACTGACACAGACAGACCCCAACTGTTGCGTCGCCTCGCGTCTCTGCGTTTTGGCCACATGTCACACTGGAACACACCGCAAAGACTTCAGCCGACGGCCAAGAAGCACGTACGAACTGCTCTGAATAACTCTCCTTACCAGTGTATTCGTCATTCAAAAGAGGCAACAACTGGAAGACAGACTGCGTGATAACCTTCTCATGCACTGATTCGCTAGCTGAACCGCCAATCAGAGGGATTTCTTTTGCCGACTGCCTTTGGCCGACTGCCCGCCGATTTTCGGCCGAAAAGGCGTCGGCCCGGCTGAAAAGACCCGACGGTGCGGGACACACCAATCTGAGTAGGGCGTGTCGACGCTCATCGTCGGCCTAACGGCCCGGCCACACAGCGGCGTGCGTTGAAGTTTCAACGCTTCTGCCCATTCACTTTGAATGGGGTGACAACACGCTTCGCCGAACTGCATTGTGGGAGCAAAGCGTAGCTTTTCTCGCGGTGCTCGCTGCAAAAGTTTAGCAATGTTCAACTTTTGAAGCTTCGACGGAAGCGTCAGCCAATCAAATCATATGCCAGTACAAGCTCTAGCCAATCAAACCGTTGCTTGTGTGTCCGGGGAGGGAGATTCAGGTGATTGGTTGTTGGTCTAGCTTCAGACATGCCTGTCGGCAAGCAACAACGCATGCCGCTGTGTGGACGGGCCGTGACGCCCACCGACGCCGATAATCGGCTTGGTGTGTCCGTGCCTTTAGTCCGACTCTTGGATTCAAATCTTTATCTATCAGCATACGCGTGGTGCAAAAACACTACATAGGAACCAGGTTTACTAGAAACTGTTGACATGGGATCAGTTTTCTACTACTAAGCTGTTCCCAATGAAAAGGGGTCACAAGAACACCTGAGATGTCAGTATATAAAAACAATAAATTAAAAATGTTTTGTTTTCCCAAGAGAAGAAAATCTGTTTTGGTCGTATCTGTAAAAACTAGTCTTTTAAATGATACCCTCTTCGTAGATGTTTACTGACATTAGAGAGTAAGCGTGTGGTAGGAGAGGCGCTGTCGACTTCTCAAATGCACGACCAAGCAGAGCATGTTATACTTGATCCTATTAGGAGCCAATGAACAAAGAAAGCGGGCTTTGTATTACCTGTGAACTGTTAGCAATTAAGCTGCCTGTTCCTGATTAACATCATCATTGCGAAAGGACCCATTCGGAGAGTGCACATTAGTTAGCCTAGTTAGCCTATTCAATGTTAATTTTGTGCTGAACCCTTCTGACTTGTTTTTCCAATAAATGAATCACTGGAAAGTTTTTGCCTTCAAGGCTTAAAAAATATCTAATAAAAACTATCCATACAACCTTTTTTTTTTTTTCAATAGAAATAAAATAAGAATTAATGCTAAAAGCTGGTTTAATGCCATGCATACATTATTTATTCATCACAGAAAGCCTCAGGCAGCCGTTTGTGGTGTCATTGCATGCTATGTTTAAATCTAATTTAGTCCCAGTTGATTTTATAAAACACGGTAAATGTTTTTGTATTTATTCAGCACTTGAACTTTTTCGTACATCTTGAGATGACAAGCTTTTTCCTCAGCAATCTCTAAATCTGAGCTAAGGTATAAAGTTGTTAAATGTTTCCTTACAAAGGCAGCATGGCATTGACTTGCTTCCTTTTTTCCCTGCATACATACAGCCTCAGGTGATTTGCAGCCAGCCACTCACACATTTCTATTACAACTTCATTGATATGCAAAAAGGCTTGAAAGGGCATCTGAAAATCTGTTTTTGTATGATTTTGGTTTGCAGTCTTTATATAGTCATTGTTCAGTAAGAGTGCCCTGCTGAATAAGAACATTTCTTTATTGAATTGGTTTTTGTCCTTGTGCTGGAAAAGCCTCTGAAACTGAAGCAGTCTGCACTCTTAGTTGATATATTGCACTCCTTGATATATTATTTCACAGGCAACTGAAAGAGAAAGTTGATTAAAACCTTAAACGTGTCCCTAATCGAACAAAGCTGTTGTAAACCTTTCAGCAGTGTGGAAATACTTCACCACATATAGGCAGTATGGTATCTTAAATGGCTTTGACAAGACAGGCTTCAATTATTATCTGGCATACTTGTTTTATCTGGAGATTGAATGCCGGCCTTCATGTGTATGCATTGAGATAACAGGGATTCAGAGGATTTTACCGGATCTAATCAGTGGGTGACATGTGATGAGAGGAATATTGTTTTATGGAAATACGATGTTAATTGACAGGCAGCAGTATAACGCATACCAAACAAGGTCCTCATTATGTAAAACCTGATTGGTAAACATTAACAAAATGTTACTTGACATTAGAGGCAACGTTTTTTTCCTAATCATCTCGCTGCCTTTTTACATGACGTAAGCTGCAGCTGTTTAATCAGAAAGCCTGTTGAAGTGTTTTGAGATAATAATAAGTTTGAGCAGCAGAAAGGAATGGAGACTAAAAAAAGAGGGAACAGAAAGGAGGAATGACGGACATGACAGGATGGGAAGAAGAAGAGATGAGCTGTCAGATTAATCTTTCCGTAGCCGGGAGAAGCTGTGATCATTTCAAATAATTTAAATGTTTTTTTTTTATCTCCCTGAAAATATCTGAAAGACTAGTTATATGAACAAGGGAGGCCTTCTTCAGGAAAACAGTCAAATAATCTAATCATCTAGAAAACGCTTCACCGTAGAGACTGAAATTATTCCGGCTCTGTTGAGATATTGATTTAACATTTCAGGGACACCTTCTTCACTCTCCTAACACTTTTGAAAGTCCTCAGGGATTCATTATTTATTGGAAAAAATAAAAATAAGAGTGCCTTTTGTTGTGGAGAGACACTTATTTAGTGTACTGTGGAGCAATTTTCTTTATAAAGACATTTACACATGACAATCCAGCCATCAAAAAAATATGTTCCTTTCAAACAACGTCTTCAAAATCTCCATTGAAACCATTTGTACACAATCAGTAGGCTATCTCGCCATTTACAACCAACCCTAATGTATTATTAACCATGTGTAAAACCAAAGTTTAAGTGTCGAAAAAGACAAATAAGACGAGTAACATTAAGCAAAAGACTATCTATTCCAGTGGAGCTTTTCAATCAGAATTGTTCAGCCTGAGGAGTAAGGATGCTTCAAAAGAAAATGTATTAATCGGTCAGGTTACAACCAAGTCGAGTGATTCCTACAACATTAACTTCAAGAGCAACCTTTCATTATCCTGCGGTGCACTTATGCAAAGCTCACAGGACAC